CTCTTCTGTACCTCTCCCTATTTGAATGGATCTTCCTCGTCTAAAGATTACTTAAATGTTATGCTGCATTTCAGATGAGATCCACCAGTAACTTTGTTGTTTCTGCCAGTGATCTCTCTCCTCACATACCCTAAGGTAGCACTTGCTTTGTTTCTGATAGAGGTATGTCACATTGGCATGTCAACAGCGTGCTGCAGTTCAAGATAGTAGGTGTTGCACCCATATTTTACTCCTCTACTGTTTCCAACTGATCAGCTCCCAGCCTGTGTCAGAAGTTTCTGACAAATGTCATTGTGGCCATGCTACTCTCAGCATCATTCTTTTCTGATATTATAGATATGTTCCTCTGTATTGACAGTGCTTCTGAACTGGCAGGAAATACTGAATTTTCCACTGAAAGGTGTACGTGAAAGTAATTACGCTAACCTGAAAACTGGGAGTCTTAGAGGAGATGTCTTGTCTGCTTTTTTTTGTTTTAATCCACTGTGGTACCAGTTTACAGAAATAGTTTTGTTTGTTAGGTTTTTTCCCTTTGTTTACTTTGCAGGGAGATCTATCAAAATGGAGGTTTTTAAGAGGAATGCAGTTACGTATACATCTGCTGATCTCTTCCTTGGCTGGGAAGAAATGATGGCACTATTCTAAAACACATTATGAAGTAGTAGGCGGTAACTTCCACTCGATCATTACACGTGTCATGTCTGAACATGAGGAATTGTTCAATCAGCCAATGCATGCGAATTTTTTCTGTTGATTTCACTAAAGCCAAGACTTCACCTAAGTATTCTGGAAGGAAATAGAGTGAGCTAGGTGTCCAACACTGCTCAGCTTCCTTGAAAATTGAGTCCTACATAAAAACCAAAACCAAACCCCAAACAACTAGGAGATACATAAATGTGTTGTTACAGCTCCTGTAGTGTTCTATACAAGGAGTCAGTATATAATTCCATTATTACAGCTGCACTAATGGATAGACAGCAACTTACAGGGATAACTGTAGAAATGGTGACGCTAATAGGAGTTAATCATCTTGAGATCAGTTAATTTTTGAAGGCTAGGTCTGAAGACCTGTGGTACCTAAAGGAACCATGTCAGAAACCTCGCCTTTCTTCCTTTCTTTCTCAGATGACACTGAGACATGAGGATGGAGATGAGAGTGCTGACCCCCCTCCCAGTGGGCGCAAGGACCGGAGAAGGGCCAGTCTTGGTGCTAGTGAGCGAAGGGGGTTAGAGCGACGACGGAGCCGCAGGCACTCGGTGCAGAACGTCAAAAGCACTTTATCAGCCCCTGCGAGTCCGTGCAGTCAGTCGAATCCTAGCTTCATGCTAGGCCACGGACAGCGCGTTGAAGATCTCAGTGAGAGGTAAGTGCATGAACTGGGGAATACTCCTTTCTTTTCCCCTATTGCTTTCCATTATGTTCGTAGCGCTTTATTAATCTGACAGACTTTTCTTTTCTTTATTTCCCTCTTTCCATTAATTAAAAAAGGAAAAAAAAAGCATGTTTACAGTTAAAACAAAATACCACCAACAATGAAAAGAAATGGAGTTGTGGGTGACTTATCTACATTGCAAAATTCTTTGGCACCATCTACCCTAAGTAAATGGACCCAAACCACATGAGGTAGAGCATTTGATATAGGAACTAACCAAGCTTAATTTCATCCATTGACAGATTTTATATTCAATATACCCACATAACAGAAGACTGTAACGAGGGCATAGTCACATTAATGCAGAGCTATTTGTCATGTATATGTTACAGTTAATTCTTTTTTTTTCCCCCTTTGCAATCAGCATTCCAGCATAAATATTTTCCTTTGAGGCTGCACTGTGGTAGTGAATATATCTAATGTTTTATAATTAGTGAAAGAGACAGTAATGACTAGTTGAGCAGCAGTCTGCAACACTGGAGCCAGTCAAAGCTAGTGTCATTGCCAATCCTATAACGGTTGGCTTGGGCTATACATGCTTAGGAAAAAAGAAAGCTGCAGATGCTCAGCATGTCTGATACTGCACAAGAGGGCTGGAATTAATTTTGGGTGAGTTAGATGGCTGATCAGCTGGCCTCCCTTTGATGTCAGTGGAGTGCAGCAAGCACTGGTAGACCTTCAGTTATCTAACGTATTCTACATGCCTGAAATTTCAACTGAGATGAATCATGCTCTGAAACTGGCTGTTTCTCTCTATTGACTGTAAAGGGAATCTTTTCAGTCTGGCTGACTAGCTGAGGTGAAGATACATAAGCTGTAGCTGTAGCTGGACACTGTCATCCCGTGGCTGAAGGTGCAATTTGCAAAACCAAAGTGTGCTCCATGAAAAGCATATCTTGTGTTGATTATAACATTTAGGAAGTTCTTTGGAGATTTCTGTTGGTTAGCACAGGATGTGAACTTGGAGCCTTAAAATCCTGCATTACATGTAAAGCAGCCCTTCTTGCAAAGCAGACTGAGTTGACTAAAGTTTAATGGCTTCAGGCAATATGAAAATATAAGACTCCAGATAATTTAAGCAGTAGTTGCATGTTGTATACCACACAATGGCTTTTTTTTTTTCTTTTTTTTTTTTTGTCTTCTTGCATTTGGCAACATGTTCATGCTTGTTTTCCATCATCTTCTATTGACCGGGTCTTTAGTGGACTGGCGGCTGAGAGCCCCGTGGTCTTACAGGCTGGTGACAAGGTTGACAGTGCATTTGAGGCTGAGTTTAAAGCATCTTCAGTGTGAGTACAGCTGGGGGTTTCAGCCACTCTGCATGGGATGCCTCGTGCATGATCTTGGGCCTTGCTTCATGACTCACCAATGTGACTGGGAATCTCTGTCCATGAATGTGGAGCAGATCAGTTAAAAAAAATCAATGGTATGAATTTGGATTAGAAATGAGAAAGTGCTTCAACTGTACAGAAACTGTTGATTCTCTTTCTGTAATTAAACAAATATAAGTCATGCAGGACAAGAACTTCTACCAATACATTTTCTCACTATTAATTTTTGCTTACCAACTTTATTTTGCAGCCTTCAGTAACTCCTAATGAATTTGTGTTTGAGATGATTTTTAGAATTGGAGGAGTAGAAACATGGCAGATGAGTTTTGTAGGTTATTTGAAATATTTTTTCACCAACATAACATAATTTCAATAATTATCCTACTTTTTTGAAAAAAATTATCCAGTTCTGCTCCACACCCTCTTTGACAGTGACATAATTTAAAGCATAATTTAAGTTTAAGTCCAGGAAAGAAGTCTTCATTTAAGCAGTCAAATTTAATTTCATGTTGCAGTTGTCCTCGGAATCTTCTCTGGGAAAATAATTAAATTCTCTTTTACTCCATTTGGAATTTCTAACTTGCTCACCTGCCTCTGTAAGGAAAGAGGCATTCAGTTACGAATTTGTGTAACACTGACCTTTGCTTCATATGTTAGGTGAATAAAAATCCTTTTTTTCCCCCATTCTCCAACCCTCTTAGCAGGTAAAGACAGGGAGTATTACTTGTAGCTAGCAAATCGTTTTTTTTCCCATTGGACATTACAGTCCACAGAATATGTTTTGTTACCTGAAGATGCAAGTTCTATGCCCAGTGAAATTTTTGAAGTTGCCATAACAGGAAGCCAGTCAACTGTTGTTTTTTCTATAAATCTCGCTGGGTTTCTGGTCAACAAGCGTTTCGGAAAAGCAGATTCTGTCCTTCACATTTTTAGTCTCATCATCTGTCCACATCTGTAGTTGTGGTAGGAAGAAGAAAACCAGCCTTCCTGCTTTATCATATCCCAGTGAGTCTCTCATCTTTCAGTGAAATAGTCCAGATGAATGCAACATTATATTGACATCTGATAAACTGGGAGAAAAAAATAAAGTAAAAACTTCGTGGCTTCTATTCATTAACATTTAAACCAAAAAATAGGGAAGCTGAATGACTCGTACAAAGTTCTTACACATTTACTAAGTTTGAATTAACCTTAAGTGGAAAGACATTTTTCTCTCTGCATTGTTCCTACCGGAATCAAGTTTTCAAATTTGAGCACATGGTCCCTGATGCAACATATTTATTGGTTTAAAAGATTTTAATAGAGCATCATAAGTTTAGGCCTTGCTGTAATTTGTAATGAAATTTTAAAATCGTATTTTAAAATATGGTGCAGGCATCACCTGTTTTTGTCAAAAGAAATTCTTATTGTGTCCCTTCTGCTTCCATTGATAATGTTGTAGAGAGGAATCTGTACAAGTGGATAAAAATTACTTATTACCTCTCTAAACTGAAAGTAACTTTTGTTCATCCAGGAAAGGTCTGTCTTCTGCTAATGACATTCTTTTGGTTCATAATTCTAATCCTTCTCGAGGAAGGAAAAAAGTTCGCAATAAGTTTTTGCAGTGCTATATTTTCTGAAAAATAGTCTGCAAAATGGGTTTCAGTCTCTTTATTTCTTTACCAATAGGAAATGTAACAATATTAAAGGCAATCTTCCTGTGTTGCTTCTGCTGGTGTCTAAGCTTTATGTGTGGTTGCAGATGTCTGTGTCTGGTTTTACAGTGGATTAGCACCACCAAGTTCAGTGAAATTGCTTCTGATGGACATGGTTAGAGATTGAAGTCACACTGTTACACTGTACTAAATTTTATTTTGGCTGATATTCTTGGTTATTTTTGGACTTCGCTACCAAAATCAGTAGAAGGTTCAAGTCCTTCCTTAGTGTGCTCCTTCCCACAATGTTCATGTTTCGTTTCTTTCTAACTCTGTCAGCTGGTTTGGCAGTTACTTTGCTTTTGTTTACCACATCAAACAGGTTGTCCACAGTCATCTGCTTTGTGTCAACCGATAAGTCTTCCAAAAAGAGAAAAATCCATGGTGCCGGTAAATCAAAAAAAGACAATATTGGCCAAATTCTATTCTGTCTCACAATGCTCTGTATCCAGAAAAGCTGTCTGAAATCAATGGAGTTGCTCTGATTTACGCCAGGCTAATTGAGAGCAGGCTTTGGGTTTTGAACTGGGAAAAGTTGACCGTAAATGCTAAGGGCAACCAAAAGGAAAACTTGCAGGCCTTTTTCATCCATTTGGCAACCTTCTTCCAAACTAAATGTATTGGTTTTTCGCTTGTGGTTCAAAATAAATAAAGACTCAAATCTGCTTTGTGTTAAAATAGTTTTCATGGAGAGTGAAACCCAGCCTAATGTGTCTGTTACTAAATAAATAAATAAAGAAGTCGATAACAGCTACTAACTAAGAAAGGCTGAAGGTTGGTTTAAGGGTATGTCGCTGCTGCAGTGTACTTTAAACTGGCAGTCCTGACCACCAACAGGTTTGCTTTGCTCAAAACTTCTTCCTTTTACCATGATGGCGTAGAGCACCAAAAAGCCTGAGGGGAACTTCAGTTCTGTTAACATGATGTTTTCAATGCTTTGCTGAGGGCACCTCCTAAGGTTTTCTGCCCTGGTCTGAATTGAGTGCTCTCAATCTGTGGTCTAGCATGCTGTTTCTTAAGTGGTAGACTTTTAAACAAATTCTTCCATGGGATTATTTGGGGTTTTTTTCCTTATAAAGTAAAGCTAGCTTTTTCCAACCACACAATGGATAGAGTCAGGGAAAAATGCAAGGAGTGGCATGGAACTTGCACTAGATTGATGTTGTTATTGTATGCTGTGATTTCTGGCTATATAAGCATTAAAAAACATATTGCTATCTGTCTGTCTGTCAGTCTCGTCCTTTCTGGCTTGAGGGTAGTAGAACACAGGTAGTTCAGAAGTTCTCAGTGCTGTCTTGAGCATGGAACAGGTGCTCTGCAAGAGCCCTATACATACAAACCAGAAATAAGTACTTCTTCCAGTTTTTAAAATTAATGCATTTCACATTTTGCTGTGCGTTTCCCTTTCTTCAGGACTGCATAGTGATCGTTCTCATCTCTCTTCCTGGGTGTCCCATCAAAGTTGTGTCAGCCAGACTTAGCAAACGTACTCAAGGGAGCTTCTATGAGATCTACACTGACGCTTCTTACCAGCATTTGAGTGAACTGCTCTGTCGAAGCTTTGTGGAATTAGTTGCAATCGAAGGCTGGGGTTTATAAAGTTCTGAATAGATAGGATTAGGTATTTACCTCACTTTACTGGACTCTTGGCTTCCTTGTTCTTTTTCTTAGCTTTGATTTGGTTTATATTGTCAAAAATCACAAAATAATTACTAAGATTGATGATATAACACTATACATGTTCATCTAGAGATAAACAGGCCTTGGTTAGGACTTTCTTGTCAGTATTCCTGTGTTTGAAACCTAAGAAGCAGAAGAGCTGACTACCATCTTAAGAACCCGTCAGAGCAGAGGCTGCATCCCGAATCAGTGACCAAAGCTAGATTTAACAAGCTATCTTTTTTAG